CTTTGAATTAGTGTCCGTTAAGTTTCTTTCGCGATCAACGAATAAGTCCGCTCATGCCTTGGGTCGAGCCGCTTGTTCTCAGACTGGTCCTTCTTGTTGGATTTCAGTTATTCCTTCTTGTATCGATCATTTATTTCAATAAAGTTTTGATCCTTTTCTTAAAAAAATAAAAGAGCATAACATACAAAAATCATTTCAATATCATCATATCATAATGGTTAGCGAATAGCAATACCTGTAAAATGGTTTTTCTGTAAGATTTTCCCCAATAATATATATTGTATATTATATATTATATATTAGGACCTTAATTAAGTGGTGCAAGTGGACTTTAGGCTTATTAAGTGGTCTGGCTAGACTGAATAACTAGAAGTTGTTAGTCAACCAAACTCTGTGCCTAATATAATCCTGGATTGATGGGATACAGGATGATTGATGTTAGCACATTCAGTTACGGTACTCAGACTGCTCAGTAGATACCAATACACCATCTAGGGTTTTGAATCAGGTCTGAGGCAAAACATGGCTAACGGTTTACCGTTAAGAGGCAAAACAATAGGAACATCAACTATGGCTGGAGATCTACATGGCTACGCTTCCGCTCTCATACGAGGTCATGTCTCTCGTATACTATGGTTCATTATAGTTAGACTATTTAGATCTAACATTTTCCACATCTCCTAAAGCCAGGGGGAGCGGCCATCAGCAAATCAGTCGGTCAAATATTGGCTGCTAACTGATCCTGAGAGTTTCACCTGTTAACAAAGGCCATAGGATTAGTCAGAATTAGACAACTTACAAGTTCTGGGCTACAATTATAGTGGCAGATTATGCAGTCAAATGCAAGGATAATTAAGGACACGTTCCTTATATAGACCAAAATTATATTATAATGGAACATAATTTTCACCTTCCCTCCTGGAAGGCCACCCTTTCCAATTACACAAACCAGGGGTAGTTTGTCCCAAGGAAACAATCAACATCTGCTCCAAGCTGCTTTAGACCTTCAACAAGATCACCAATTGGTCTCTCTCATCCTAGGAACTCCATCGAGGACGCGTATCTAATGACAATAAGTAGACCGTACCAAAAGAATTAGCAAGCAGATAAGATCCAATGCTAATGAAGAAAATTGTTCTATTAACAATGCCAAATTATACGATGCTGAAATAAATATAAGCGCAGCACACAGTGATGTTAAAACTGACGTTGTGACACAGATAATTTATAACGCAGTTCGGGCAATCAACCCTAATCTGTGAGGCACTTCTCAAGTTGAGAATTTGCCTAAATCCACTAAAAGCTTAATATTTAAAGTACATTGTTTAGGAAACGGAGATTACACAATATAACGATCTTTTCCTATCGGACTATTGTGACCTAAACACATGTACTACTTTTCAAGGGGATTTGGGTATCTCTTCTCAATGACTCTCGTGTCTCACAATTAGATCTTGAAAGCTTGACCTGATGTGTTGTGGAGCTGCTTCTTTTATAGGTCTAAGAGTCACAAGGTGGATAGGAGTAGAGTTGCTATTCCTATTCAAACTAGGAATATAGATCCTAATACTTGCTTGATTTAGTAATCCCTTTTTGCTTTGAATTTGACAAATCATTTCAAGTCAACATTCTCCCCCTTTGTCAAATTTGTAGCAAAAACCTTGATTCATCTTGGTTCTTCTCAAGGCTTGACAGTGGTTGTAGTTATCTTCCCCTTAATAGGTTCTCTGTTTGTAGAGCTTGCTTTATTCTTGACAGTGGTTGTAATTATCTCCCCCTTAACAGGTTCTCTTGTTCCTTAATTTGTGGAGCTTTCTTGATTGATGCTTTGTTGGCTCAGGGTATTGGTTTGCTCTTGTTTTCAAGGATATACAAGAGCTAGTCTGGAAATTATCCTAGTGTACTTTCATAGACCCAAGGTCATCAGTATGCATATGCATTTAAAAGTGTTAGAGAATAGCAAAACCACATATTGTTGGGTCAGGATAGTAACCATAGATAGCAGTCTAACAAATGAACCCAAGGTCATTAGTGTGCACATGTACTAAACAAAAAAATGCACAGAATACTAGGTTGGGACAGTGATCACAACAGAAATATATATGTCTGTTTGTTCATATGTCTGCCTGTTGTCTGCCTGCAACAACAAAAATATATATGTCTGCCTGCAACAAAAAGTGTCTGTCTGTTCATATGTCTGCCTGTTCTCCCCCTTTTTGCTAAAAGAGAAACTTCAGTGGTATGTCATTTGATTATGATCCGTCTTCTGATTCTGGTGTTGAAACAGGGGTTTCAGCATTCTTATCTTGAAAATCCTCCTGACTTCCTTCTTCAGTTTCTTCTTCATTTTCTTGATTTTCCTCTTGATTCTCTTCATCATGTTCTTCTTCATTTTCTGTTTTTAGGATTGCTAGCCATTCAAGTATTTCTGCTTTTTCTTCCTTGATGTCCATGTGTTTCCTTAGGAGTTGTTTTTCTGAGGCTTCTAACTCTGTCAGTCTTCCCTCAAAGTAGTTTATTAGTGTTTTGGGATCAAGTGGATTGTTCTTTGGTGCTGTCGTCTTTAGATCATTCTGATGACTTCCCTTTTTCAGCTTTATTGTGGTGTTGATGCTCTTGACAGTGGTTTTTGGCCCATGGGATTTAAGGCCTTGCTTACTCAAGATAGCAAATATTAGGTTTGGAAAAATTAGTGAAGTGTTGGATGTGGTGTCTTCTGCTAGATTTGTGATTTGTGAATGAATGATGGCACCAATGTTGATCTTGACTCCTTTCTCTATCTTGTACAGTAGTTCTGCCAAGGCCCATTTTACAATGGATTCATGCAGTGAGGGCATCCAATTTGCAAGGGCTATTTTTTGGAGAATGGCATATTTACTTGTTAAGGAAGCGGCTTTGATCTTGTTCTTTTCAAAGCTGATATTTCCTGCTGTGATTTCCTGAGCAACTTGTTCACTGGTTATTTCCACGTTTTGTTCAATCTCAGATGTCCCTAGGTAACTGTTGATAATGTCTGGTCTAAAATCATAGAACTTGCCTCTCAAATACACCTTCCCGTACATGGGAATGCTAGGTGTAGTGGTGTTTTTGGTCAGATTATAATAGAACTCCTGGATGACCTTTTCATCATAGGGCTCAATTTGAGTGACAGTTCCTAAGAGCTGGTTTTTTGTCAATGTTTCCTAAATTTGTTCTAGGTTGTCCATTCTATCTAGAACAAGAAGCTTTTGACCAATGATTTTCTTCTCTACAATTTTTTTCAATAAGGTTGCTGACTCCTTTCTCAGAAATTTCGAGCTGTGTGGGTTTGGCAGTTTTGACAGGTCAGCATTTTTGCCTAACTTTTGTTGTCCTTTGTCTTTTGCAGTCAATTTCTTTTTTCCTTTTTCTTGGAAGCTAGCACATGGTATAGCACTGTTAATTTCTCCTATTTCATAAGGGACCCAATCTTTTTCTTCTTCTACCCTTCTTGTTTTGGGTTTCTTTGGCTTGGGAGGGGGTATATTAGGGCACTTTCGAGGAGGCCTTATCGAGATTGGGAAATCATTGGGTCTCTTGGCCCTAGGATCTGCCCCTTCGTAGGGGTCAGTCCTCCTTCTCCTTCTCTGTTCCTTGTCAAATAGATGAGGTAGTGAGGCAGATTCAACTTCCCCTGTTACAGGGTTTTCTTCGGGTATGGGCTCAGGTGGAATTTCGGTTTCCAATTGTGCATTTACTTGAGGAAGTTCGATATTATCTGGGTTTTGGATAACATTCTCCTCTAATTCCACCGCTGTGGGTAGCCAATCTGTTACACCTTCATTTAATTCAACTGTAAGGTTTATAGTACCTGGGGTGGAGTTTTGATGCTCTTGAATCTCTTCGAACGGGACTTGTGAGATGGGAACTGGATCCATGATGATGTTAGTGAGGATTTCTTCTTCAATGCGTACTGGGTTAGAGGATACTCCGGTGCCAGCGTACTGAGGCGCGATTCCTTTCCGCGGTATTTTCCCTTTTCTCTGATTTCTTGTTCTCACCATTGTTGATCGTGGTGGAGGATTGGAGAGGATTTGTGCGGGTGAATGGTCTAGGGTAGACAAAGACCAGAGGTTGGGGCTTTTAGTAGATGGATCGGGTTTGGATTTTCTCAAGATGGTCTGACCTTTTTTTTTTTTTTTTTTTTTTTTTTTTAATTTGGGCTTCTGATCCGTTATGACTTTTTGTGGATTGCATAGTCCAATTCTCCGTTATGGCCTTTATAGATTGCATAGACCAATTTCGGCCCTTAATTTTGCATATTTGTTCCCGTCAAGTACTTTTGTCAAAATATCTGCTAGTTGGTTTTCTGTATTAATGTGTGTGAGATTGATGATTTCATCTTCTACTAGTTCTCTTATAAAATGATGCCTGATATCAATGTGTTTTGTTCTCGAGTGCTGTACTGTATTTTTTGAAATATCTATTGCGCTTTTGTTATCGCAATGAATTGTCATAGTTGATTGATGTAATCCGTAGTCTTCTAGCATTTGTTTCATCCAAAGTAGTTGTGTGCAACAGCTTCATGCTGCAATGTATTCTGCCTCGGCTGTTGATAAGGATATAGAACTTTGTTTTTTGCTTAACCAGGATACCAGATTTGTTCCGAGGAAAAAACATCCTTCTTAGGTGCTTTTCCTGTCATCTATGTTTCCTGCCCAATCAGCATCACAATAGGTTGACAGGTGAGGGTTGGTATCGAAAGAATACCATATTCCTAAGTCGGTAGTTCCTTTGACATATTTAATGATTCTCTTTACTGCTCTTAGGTGTTGCTCAGTGGGATTGGCTTGATATCTAGCACATATTCCTACTCCAAAGCTTAGGTCTGGCCTACTTGCAGTTAAGTACAGTAAGCCTCATATCATGCTTCGATATAAGGTTTGCTCAACTTTTTTACCTTTTAAATCTTTTGAGATTCTTTCTGTTGTTGGAACAGGTGTTCTGACAACTTTGTTTTCCTCTACTCCGAATCTCTTGACCAAGTTCTTTGCATATTTGTTTTGTGATATAAAGATCTCATTGTTTTGTTGTCTGATTTGTAGACTTAGGAAGTATTTTAGTTCTCCAACCATGCTCATCTCGAATTCGCCTTCCATGTTGGTGATGAATTGATTTTTGTGGCATTCAAGTGTTGATCCAAAGACTATGTCATCGACATAGATTTGGGCAATGATAATGTTCTTACCGTAGTGTTTAACGAACAGGGTTTTGTCAACACTTCCTCTTTTGTAGCCCTTTTTGACCAGAAATTCAGTGAGTCGTTCATACCAAGCTCGTGGTGCTTGTTTTAGCCCATATAGAGCTTTGTTGAGTTTAAACACGTTTTGTGGAAAATGAGGATCCTCAAACCCCTTTGGTTGAGCAACATAGACTTCTTCTTTTATATTGCCATTTAAAAATGCTATTTTTACGTCCATCTGATAGAGTTTTATCTTGAATATGCAAGCTACTGCTGTGAGGAGCCGGATTGATTCAATTCTGGCTACTGGAGCAAATGTTTCCTCAAAATCTGTCCCTTCAACTTGTGTGTATCCTTGTGCTACTAGTCGAGCTTTGTTTCTTGTTATGTTTCCTTGATCATCTGTTTTGTTCTGATAAATCCATTTTGTTTCGATGATATTGGCTTTTTCCGGTCTAGGGATTAATTCCCAGACGTTGTTTCTTTCAAACTGTTGCAATTCTTCTTGCATGGCTTCCCCCCAAAATTCATCTTTTAAGGCTTCGGTAATGTTTTTGGGCTCTATTTTGGAGGTGTAGCAATAGTCGCCTTCCTCCATTTTCTGATAGTCTCGTTTCTTTCTTCTAGTTTTGATCCCTTCATTAAGTCCTCCTATTATATTTTCCAATGGATGATTTTTCTATGTCCTTGTGTCATCAGTGGTGTGGCTTTCCTCAATGGGTTGTGTTTCTTCTTTCTCTGGTGTTTCTGTTTCAAATTTTTGTTCCGGAGGTGTTGAAACTGTTGTTTCAACAAAACTTGGTTCTTCTTCATTGGTGGTGAAATCTTCTGATAATGTATCATTGATGGCAACATTTATGGATTCCATGACACTGTCTGTTCTGAGGTTAAACACTCGATAGGCCCTGCTGTTTGAAGAGTATCCTAGGAATATTCCTTCATCTCCTTTGATGTCGAATTTTCCTAAAGGTTCTCTATCTTTTAATATATAGCATTTGCTACCAAAAACATGAGTATGCTTTAGGTTTGGTGCCTTTCCCTTCCAGATTTGATAAGGTGTCATGTTGATTTCTTTGCGTATATATACTCGATTGATCAAGTAGAATGCGGTGTTTACTGCTTCGTCCCAAAACTTTGGTGATATTATTTTGTGATTTAAAAGAACTCTTGCCATTTCTTGGATAGTTCGATTCTTCCTTTCAACTACTCTATTCTGTTGGGGTGTCTTTGAAGTAGAGAATTCATGATGAATTCCATTTCTATGCAGTAATCTTTGAACTTTGAATTTTCGAATTCCATACCATGATCACTCCTTATTCGGATGATTTTTCCTATTTTCATATCCTTTTCGTTTTGGATTTTGATGATGAGGGTATTGAAGGTCATGAATGCTTCTGATTTTTCTCTAAGGAAATTTACCCATGTGAATCGTGAATAATCATCAACAGTTACATAGACATATCTTTTCCCTCCAATGCTTTTCGTTTGAGTGGGTCCGAACAGATCCATGTGAAGTGATTCTAGGATTCTGGAGGTGTGTAATCCAAAAGTCCTTTTGTGAGTTGTGCGTGTGATTTTATTTTCAAGGCATGCATCACATTTTTTATTTTCATCTATGTCAAGAGCTGGAACTCCTCGGTAGGCTCCCCCCTTTTAATCCCTTTTTCATATCATGAAAGTTTATGTGTCTCATCCGTTGATGCCATAATTGTGTTTGATTGACGGTTGTTTGTAGGCAGGTTAAATCATCGTCCCATGTGTAACATTTATTTGTAGACTTTTTCCCAATCATAACACATTCTTGATTTTGGTTGAGAACATTGCAGTTGTCTTTTGAAAATTCCACTTTAAGTTCATCTTCACACAGCTGGCTTATACTGATCAAGTTTTCTTTCAGTCCCTATACTAAGAAGACTTTTGATAATCTAGGGAGCCCATGTACGTTTAAAATCTCGCTTGCAATAATCTTTCCTTTTCCTCCATCTCTAAAGGTAACATTCCCTTCATTTTTATACTGAATGTTCTCTAGATTTTCTGGGTTTCCAGTCATATGCCTTGAGCATCCGCTGTCAAAATACCATATGTGTTGCCCTTTGCTTGTCTTAGAGGTATATGCAATATTTTGGTCTTTTCTTACCCAGATTTTCTTGTTATTATTTCTGTTTTGTGTTGACCAATCGTTGTTGTTTTTCCTGTAATAAAGATCATTCTATCTTTTGTAGCAATGTGCTTTAATGTGTCCCAATTTGTGACAATAATAGCATCTTATCCTTCTTCGATGTTGGAAGTGATGTTGCGACACTTCATGTATCTCAGTTTGGTGACTTTCATTTGAGGCTGAGATTGGAGATCTGGGTCTTTCGGTAAGAACCTTGATTTCTTGTAGCAATTTGGCTTCTCTGTTTTCGAAATCTAGTAGTTCATTTTGTGCTTCTTTGTATCGTTTTTCTCCCCGATCTTTCTCATCTTTTAGAAACTGATTTTCTTCCATGAGTTCTAGATTTACTTTGATGATTTGTTCCCATTTGGCATTTAGTTGAGTATATGCCTCTAATAATTCTTGTATATCTTCACCATTGTCATGTTCATGGTTTGCGGTGAATGCTACGGAATTGGTGTTGTTGTCTTCTTCACTGTCTGAGTCATCACTTAATGTTGTTATGTATGTCTTGTTCTTTCTTTTAAGATATGTGGCACATTCTGATTGGATGTGTCCAAACCCTTTGCACTCAAAGCATTGTATTCCTTCTGTATTTGAACTGTCTCTTCGTTTCGTACCTGATGGTTTTTGATTGACTGTGGAATTTCCTTGTGTAACACCCCGTGTTACGACCCCTAAGATCAATTAAATCATTTAATCAGTTACCCAAAAGAAAGAATTAAATCACAATAATTAATTAGGAGGCCCACCATAGTCCACGGGCCCTTATCCCTAAACCCAATCCCTAGTCCCAAAAGAAATAGAATTAGCAAGCCCATAATACTAGTTCCTAACTAAGACTCCTAAATATATAAATAGGGGACTTAAGAGGCACCTAGAAACCCCCCACCACAATAAACGCCCACCACCCCAAAGAGCTCCAAGAATCCCCTAGAAGAAATCAAGAAAGCAAGAAAGCTTAGAGAAAGACCCTTCATAGCCAAGGAATTAAATAAAGGCTAAGAGGTAACCCATGTCTCAACAAAACCTATTTTCATAGTTATGATTCCCCCCTAGGGTTTCCCCATATTATTGTGTATTAATGACTTGTGATGATTATTATCAATGATTGATGTGATGATCCCATGGGGGATCTAGATAATCTTGATGTTGGGAGATTCTTGATAATTATGATGTTCTTGATGATTATATGGAGTTCTTGATGATTGTGTGTTGTTCTTGATAAATTGTATGATACCCTTGATGCTTATGTGTTATTCTCACCGAATCTTGCAATTAGAAGGCGTATCGTGTTCCTGTTGTTATAAAAGTGATTAGAACCCTAGGTCGTATCGTATGGTGTTATTCTTGGGTTATCGGGTGGGGAAATCACATGTTTAGGTGTTGATTATGTTTAGAAAAGCATGATAGGTTATGTGTCGTTCGTTTCTCGTATTTGATCCGTTAATTGTCTACGTGTTGTCATTGATTGCGTTGCAAAGTGTCTAAGCATGGTTTTGGGTTCCACAATGGTTCCCGGGGCGAATTTGTGTGATAAGAGTCAGTGGGGGGGGTAGGTGGGGGGTAGGGGACCCGCCACCTACCCACGGCCGGAAATTGTACCTCCGGCAGCGGGCAGCTACCCGCCGGCGACCCGCTGCCCGGAACAGTGTTACCGGCGGGTAGCCGGCGGGTGGCCCCCCCCCACCCACCGGCTACCCGCTGGAATCTTCCCCATCTTGGGTTCCCAGCTTCCCCGTTTTGATGTTTCCCCGTCCCCCGTGGTGTCCCAACGGACTCCGTTTATCGTGCCTATGTCTAGTTTGATATTTCGGGGGTACCGTTCGTAGGTTTATGAGTGTATTATATTGCATACTAGTTGAATTGGTATCCCGTTGACCTAGGTGGAAGAAGTATGAACCCCTTAGGACTATTCTTAGTATGTGATGGATCACGCATAGGTTTTGTTATACGTTTTCTCCCCCTTCCCAATGTGTTAATGTGGGTTGCATGTACTTGCTATGTGTTATGTGTGCATGTAACCCCGAGTTGGTTAAGATCAATCGGGCTATACGGGCAGTCGGGTAGGCTGAGAACCATACCGGCTGTTAACCAGGCTGGTAGAGACCGGTCAGGTATATAAATATTATATAGGACTAAGTTCCACTATACGGGCAGTCGGATGGGCTGAGAACCATACCGGCTGTTAACTAGGCCGGTAGAGACCGGTCAGGTATATAAATATTATATAGGACAAAGGTCCACTATACGGGAAGTTGAATGGGCTGAGAACCATCTCAACTGTTAACCAGGCTGGTAAAGACCGGTCAGGTATATAAATATTATGTAGGACAAAGGTCCATCAGTCGGTTGCGATCGACTCCCCCGTAATGTGAGGCGGGGCAGGGTGCTGCGGGGCCGTGTCAGAGCTATATGCGCTGACCCTCATGTATGGGCATGCGATTGGTCCTGTGGCGCCAACAAAGTGTGCTATGTGATGAGATATGGATGAGTTGTGGTTATGAGTATCTTGAGGGATGGGACTATGGGATTTATGCTGGGGATTGATTATGTTGGGTTATGATTATTAATTGTGCTTAGCTTTATCTGTCTTGCTTGTTGTAGATCGTATACGCTTGTTATAACTGTTGCTTGTGTAGAGCCTT